TCTACTGTTCCCATTTATGTATTTTGATTATCTTAATGTTTGATGTTATATTGTCAAAGGGAATAAAGATTTGAAGCTAGTTAGACACGTGACTCTGTCTTGGCATATTCACGCAGTCACTGGCATTCAATTCTATTGCTGCTTTCTTCATTTTATGGGTCTCCCTGGTGCATTTTAGTGGAGATTGATCGGCTGGATGATTTACATATTCATATGCTTGTCATACCTTGTTACTGGGGTGCACGAAACCGTAACGAAATACTTGTTTCATGGATACAGGTTTTATGCAGCTGAGGTTCTGTTGGCACTCGAGTATCTTCACATGCTGGGAGTTGTGTACAGGGACCTGAAACCAGAAAATGTTCTGGTCCGGGACGATGGTCACATTATGCTTTCTGACTTTGATCTTTCCCTGAGGTGTGCAGTTTCGCCGACCCTCATAAGAACTTCTACACTTGATTCAGCTCCTAATAAACGAGGAGCTGCATTCTGTGTACAGCCAGCATGTATCGAGCCCATGTCATCATGCATTCAGCCTGCATGCTTCCTTCCCCGAATCTTTCCACAGAAGACCAAGAAAAAATCCAGAAAGCCCCGAGCAGAGCTTGGGTTGCCATCCAGTGCGCTGCCCGAGCTAGTTGCAGAACCCACTGCAGCACGGTCCATGTCATTTGTTGGGACCCACGAATACTTAGCCCCTGAGATTATCAAGGGTGAAGGCCATGGCAGTGCAGTTGATTGGTGGACATTTGGTATTTTCCTACACGAATTACTGTATGGTAAAACCCCTTTCAAGGGCTCGGGGAATCGCGCAACTCTTTTCAACGTAATAGGACAACAGCTCAAGTTTCCGGATTCGCCTTCAACCAGTTATGCCAGTCGAGATCTTATCCGTGGATTGCTTGTTAAGGAGCCGCAACATCGGTTTGGGGTGAAGAGAGGAGCAACAGAGATCAAGCAGCACCCTTTCTTTGAAGGTGTTAATTGGGCTCTTATACGATGCAGTACACCACCAGAGGTGCCTAGACCAATTGAGGCTGAGCTTCCCATGAAGTTTGGACAAGTTGACCCTATTGGAGTTGGCAGTAGCAGCAAAAGGGTAGTAGGAACAGACATGAAGTCAGGGGGTAGATATCTGGACTTTGAGTTCTTTTAGTTTAGGAATATAGGATTCTTGTTCTGTGTTTTAGCAGTGTCATTAGTTGATCCCTTCACTAGTTTACCTTCCAACTTTGACAAGTATATGGCCCTTATGGCCTTATTAGTTGGAAGAAGTCTGTGGCAGTCCTGTAAGTAAATGCAATATTATCATCACATAATAGAATTAATTGTCAAAGAGCATATAAGTGATAATACTTTCCAATAAGCAAGTGCAGTGTATTGTGGGGGACTTTCAGAATAATAAAATGTATAAATTTAACCCTTTTTTAGCTTTTTAATACCGTTGAGTACTATAGAGTCTGACGCCGAAAGCACTAACTCGATCTATTGGCATAGGTTTTTGGTATGGCCACCTGACTGGACACATATCAGACTTGAGAAAAGCTCAGTGCTTTTAAGTTGGGTTAAGTTTTACCATTTTTTGGAACTTTTGTTAAAAACAAGATTGGAGAACAAGCCCAATTATATAAAGAGGAAATTACAAAAAATCAGTTGTTTAAACTTCCTAATTCAAAATTCGGGTCTAAGGTTTATCTAATCAAAAATCAGGTACGAATTAAATATTTAAATAATATTATAATACTAATATTTCAAACCTTAATTCATTTTCAATCCATATTTTC